ACGAGGGAGGGGGACTTGATTGGGGGAGGGGGAGGGAAAGGGGAGGCGGCGGTGGGGAAGAGACAGAAATCTTAAATAAATAAATAAATAAATAAATAAATAAATAAATGAAATGTAATATAAATATGTGTTTTCAGATGGTCTTAGGTGACCCTGTGAAATAGTCATTCAGTAGCCCTCATAGGGTCATGAGACCCATAGGTTGAGAGCCACTGTTCTAGATCTTCAGCTCTGTAGCATCTGTTTTTTTTTAGTATTTTATTTATTTTTTTAAAAGAGAAAAAATCTTTTCATTTTACATACCAATCCCAGTTCCCATTCCCTCCCCTCTTCCCATTCCCTCCATCCCTCCCCCATCTACTCCTCATAAAGGAGGTAAGGCATATTGCTTTGGGGAAGGTCCAAGGCCCTCCCTACTATATCTAGGCTGAGCAAGGTATCCATCCAAAGAGAATAGGTTCCCAAAAAGCCAGTACAAGCAGTCCAGATAAATCCTGGTGCCATTGCCAGTGGCCCTGCAGTCTGCCCCAGCCATACAGATGTCAACCACATTCATCAGTCTGACTACAGGGCAAGGCCAGTTCAGGCACCCTCTCCTCTATTGCTTAGGGTCTTAGCTGGGGTCGTCCTTGTGGATTCCTGGGAATTTCTATAGAACCAGGTTTCTTGCTGGCCCCATAATGGCTCCCTCACTCAAAATATCTCTTTCCTTGCTTTCGTATCTGTCCTTTCTCCATCTCGACTATCCTGTTCTCTCAGGTTTTCCTCTCCCTTCCCTTCTCCCCTTATCTTCCCCTTCTGCCCTCCTTACTTCTCCCACCCTTATGCTCCCAATTTTCTCAGGCGATCTTGTCTATTTACCCTTTTCAGGTATGTTTTTCTTAGGGTTCACCTTGTTACTTAGCTTCTCTAGGATCATGAACTATAGGCTCAATAGCCTTTGCTTTACAGCTAGTACCTACTTATGAATGAGTACATACCATGTTCATCTTTCTGGGTCTGCGTTACCACACTCAGGATTTTTTTTTTCTAGTTCCATCCATCTGCACGCAGATTTCAAGATGTCATTTTTATTCACCGCTGAGTAGTACTCTAATGTATAAATGTACTATTTTCTTTATCCGTACTTCAGTTGAGGCGCAGCTAGGTTGTTTCCAGGTTCTGGCTATTACAAATAATGCTTGTAGCATTTATTATTAATGGAGCTTTTCAAAAAGATGCAGTGGGACCTCTATGTGAGGGCTATCACCGGTAGGTTCTTTGACAGTTAGTCTGATGGTAGCAAAGTAAAAATTTATTATGTATTGGACACAGTGAACATTTCAATTACAGAAGTATGGTGCTGGTTTACGGCAGCAAAGTGTGCAACCCATGAGACAGTCCTTCCGTAATGCACAGGTCAGAACTAGCAGCTGTGAAGAGGTGCAAATGGCTGTTTGTGTAGCAAGATCTAGAAAATAGCCAAATTGTACTGTTGTGGATCCTATAATGTCCCCATTTTCCCAAAAGCAACCCAGAACTGCCCTGTCTATATTGTATGTGAGTGGGAACATGGATCAAAGTTCCAGCAGGATAGTTAGATGCTCATGTTGTAAACAGTGTTCTGAGAAGTGATATTCGAGGCTAATGTATGCACCTGGCAAGTGGTGAGTGTGTGGCCAGAAAGTCACAGAGGATAGGAATGAATGGAGCTTAGACTTCGTAGAAATGCTTTCTTCCCATTAGAAAAAAGGAGGAAGGGAACGAAGGAGGGAGGGAGGGAGGGAGGGAGGGAGGGAGGGAGGGAGGGAGGGAAGGAGGAAAGAAGGAAGGAGGGAGGAAAAGACTTTGACAAACAAAATAGCCATGGTCAACTTTCTATAATTTTATTTTTTCTCTTTTTCTTTCTTTTGTATTGTTTATACTGGGGAGTGAATGCAGGGCCACATATAAGCTATTCAAGCAGCACTTTTTTCCATTTTTTTTGTTTTGAGATATCATCTCAGTAAGTTGCTCAGGATAGCCTTGAACTTGATGTTCCTGCTTCATCCCAGAGGTAGGATTGTAGGCTTGTGCCACCAGCACCAGCTTTTTTTTCTTAAGACCTTTTAAAGCAAGTAAAAATAGAAGAACTTCATGAGAATACAGCAACTGTATCCATAATCTGATCTTGATTTAAAATGTTGAAATTATTTGGACGACTTATGTAGAAAAATATAACTTGATAATCTTATTTATCCCAGGTTTTGTTTTTGTTTTTGTGACAGGGTCTGTCTGGGTAGCCCTGGCTGTACTGGAGCTCAGTATTAGACCTATGCTGACCTAGAACTCTTAGAGATCTGCTTGTCTCAGCCTCCCAAGTAATAGGAATAAAGGCGTGAGCCACCATGCCCAGCTACTTCTGTTGTTCTTTATAAACTGTGTATTGACTGGGCATGGTAGCACATAGGTAGTCCTAGTATTCCTGTAACCCGAAGGCTTGTACTCTGATGTCGGAGAGTTGCATGTATAAGGCCACACAGCGAGACCCTGCTTTTGAGGGGGGCAAGAAGTACATTGTATTTGAGATTTCATTATTCATTCATCTAAGATGTAAGCTTACCACTGCAGGTCTCAGGAAGCCCATGCATCCAGATGAGTCTCCACTGCAGGCCTCCACTGTCTTCTCACAGCTCCCCTCTCAGCTGCTGTAAATGTCAGAGTCCACACGAGCACCCTGGCCCTCCTCCCTACGCTCTGTGGAACTGTTGCTGCTCTAGTCTTTCCCATGCTTTTCTTGCCCGTCTCACAGATATCCCTGGCCAAGTCCAGTGCTTTTCTCTCTCCAGATAGTTTTTCTCTTTCTCCTACAGTTAAAGCCATGGAGTGGGTGATTGGCAGTTTCTTTGATGTGCCCCTCTCATACAGTCACAGTAAGGCTTTCCTATAAATTGATTTATTTCAGAGTATACTGACTACACCTTCCCTATGAACTAAGCAAATTTTATCATCTTTAAAGCTATTATTTTTATGTGCTGTACCTGGTGTTGTAGATCCTTAACTGCCCTCAATCTGCACATTCTGCATGGCAAACCAGAACCATGGGCATCTTCCCCCTTTACACACATGGGAGCCAACTGCAAACCAGTGTACAACATCTTCCCCCTGACACACGTGGGAATGAACTGAGGAAAGTAACTATGACAACACACTCTGGACAAGTAGCAGAGGCAGTGCTTCAGGGCTCTGAGCTGTCTTAGCTAGTCCCTGAGCGCATGTGTTCTGTAGGTCTGGCCTTATGCACCCTGTTGCTCTGTTTCCCTTGTCCTAAAGGGTGGCTATGGCAGCGTACAAAAATAAAGGTAACTACAACAAGATTTTCAAAAATATAATGTAAGAAGGAGAGCTGAACTGAGATGAGGCACGTAGGCAGTGTTCTGTGCTGTCTGTGGTTGGATAACGTGTGCTGCTTATAACATGTGCATTTACTCCTCTAGGCCTGGGTGCAGCATGCCTGAAATCTGGGATGTGGAGGATCCAGCCAATGCTGGGAAGACACCCCTGTGTAACATCCTGGGGAAGGATTCCAAGCCTCACTTCAACACAGTGTTCCAGAACAGCGTTTACAAAGTCCTAGAAGTTATCAAAGAATGACTGTGACAAGCGCCGGCTACAGAGACCGCATCCGTAATGGCTTTACTGCTTTGCCACTAAGTCGTGTATCATTTTAACTCAGATTACAAAACCTTTACAAGTCTTTTAAAGTAACTGTTTTCAAATGGAAAACATTTTATTTGGTCAATATGTCATTCTGATTGTAAAAATGACTTACACCAGATCAATTAGTTACTGTTTCAGTGCACCTGTTGAAATTTGCTATGCAAATGAGTATATGCTTGTACTTCATTTAAATATTTGTGTTACAGTGAACAAAGCCATCTGTGTAGAAATGCGTCATGGGTCATGACAAAGATGATCTGAAAGTGTAGTTCCTTCTGAACTGGGAGGGCCTGCTTTTCCGTGCAGGGCTGTCACAGCCTTGCTTCTTACTTACCTCCTGGTCTTACCTTTGGACACTTGGGTGATTCTGTACCCCAGTCTTGTCAACCCATCTTAGCTCTTAGTCCAGGTGTCAATGGCCTGTGGAACACCTGTTCCTCTCACTTCTGGGTGCTCTTTTTGTTCTGTATGGCGCTTGAGAATCAAGTGTTTCCTGCCCATTGTTGCCCAGATTCCTGGGTATGATGGGAGGAACGGCTCCTTTAATTCCCAGCCATGTGGAGTCTGCTTCTTCCCACATGGGCTTTTGCTTTCAGATAAATGCTATCTTGTCTTTAGTTGATTAGCAAGTGCTTATTCTTGGTTAAAAAATTAGGAAATGTGTATTTTTCTCATTTTTAGTATTAATCAAATATTATATTTTAATATCTTTAATTCACTTAAAATTTTTTCATGATTAATTGCAGTTGTAAGAAAAGCTATTTTGGACAACCCCAAATATGATGCATCTAGAGTCTAATATATATAGAGACATAGCTATGGTAGACTATAGTATATGGTAGTTTTTCTTTTGCTATTAAGATAAAACAAAACATAACTAACTTTTTTGTCCAAATGTAAATGAATAATGATAAATGAAGAGTTTTTCTATTTTGCTTTCAAAATTGCCTGTCTTTGATAAGACAAAGCCTTAAGCCTTATAATTTTGCCTAAAATAATGGATTAAGTTTGAAGAGGAATGCGTATGTTCAGTCTTCCCCATTTTTTTTTGAAAAATTTCCAAACATGCTTTGAATTTTTACACAGATTTTGTTTCTTAGAAGTTAATTTGTGTGAAATGAGATTCTTCAAAACCATGGATCTTCACTGTTGTAAGAAATGGTTTTCAGGTTTTAAATTCTAAGCAAATTGTGACCATGGCTGACTACACATTTAATTACAGTCTTCTCTTTATTAACCACAGGCTGATTAACCTCAGTGTGGATTGTCCTTGAGACCTGAGTCCTCAGGGATGGTTTCCGGTGCCCATCCTGGCAGCCGCAGAAGAGCTGTTCTCTTCCTGCCTTCTTACCAGAGGCCAAGAACAAGTTTGTCTGGGGGAAGCACTAGCTTGCTCCTGTTGTCACCTGCAAAGACAGCACATGAGACTGAGGAGCGTGGCCTCAGTGTCCCCAGAGCCAACCTCGCCTCCCAGGTTGTCCTGCCCTGGAGCTGCCCAGGGACTGTCGTTCCTAGTGTTGCACACTGTGACTCTGCTTCCTCATGTGGCACTCAGTTTTTATTTCATAAGCTTTTACCAACTCAGAACATAGGGAGGCAGCTGGAGATAGGTGGGTTAGGAGTGTTTCAGTGATGGTGCAGGATTGCGAGGAAGTGGAAAGAGGGCTCCTGAGGTTGGAGAGAGAGTAGGCGTGGGTGTGAGGGCGGCATGCACACCCTGCTTGTCTGCACTCCTTCTGCACCCTGACGTGACTGCTGTGTGTATACAGCAGTTAGGATTTTTTTAAAATCACCTTTTTAAAGTTCTTTTCTATCCTTACCCTCTAACAAGTCCCTTCATAATAAGTTCATGTGTAATGATTGGAAATTCTGTACAGAGAAACAAAACATTAAAATACTATTAGAACCAGCTCACATGCTGGGAAACATTAAAAGCAGTCTAAATTAGTTTTCTGCAGAAGCCTTTTGTAACAGTATTTCTTAATGTGACTCCACCAGCAAGCTCTGCTTGTAATTTAGGCAAGTCAGCTTAGAACAGAGGCCTTGGGGGTCCACTGCGTATTTAGCCTCCAGCACATCCAGTAGCAGCCGGTGCTCTGCGACTTAAGCACTTTTATGGCGACATGGAACAGTAATAGATTCTGTGTAGCTGACAGTGCAGCATTAAAGCTCAGTATTTTGCATATTTTTAGCATTTATAAATATTTTTGCTTTAGTGTGAGGAAAGTAAGGAAAGACAGGAGGCAAATGAAATAGTTATTATTGTGACATTTTTAAAAAAGCTGGGTACTACTTCCATAAAAAGATAAGCCTCTGAAATGCCTGACAGAAAATGTGTGCTGTTAAAGTAGGCCAATAGCATTAAGGAGAAAATAAAAGGATGTGTCTGAAATGAAGTGATGGCTGCATAGGAGTATTGTATTTTTATGAATTTTATGCCCCTTGTTTACATGTATTATATATGTTAAATAAATAATACATGAAAAATGTGCAAAATGTTTTCTTTACCTGCTGTTTTCCTTTGCACCCTGACTGTGACCACGCACATTTTCATTTCAGATGGCCATGAACGGCTCTGCATCATCTCGTAGACCCCATTGAAAGGGGAGGGATAGTCACCAAGGGACCCATTGCTAAGGCTGGGTGCTATCATCACCCAAAATTTTATATTGTATATGGTCAAAACCACATGTGTTCCATTGTTTCTTTCAGCAAGGGACATATGTGTTTGTATAATTACAGAGTTGTTGATAGCTTTCCCTATACATTATACCACAGATAATTTGGTATAAAAGTTCCTCAAATTGGAATCCATATATTTGTGCACTATTGCTTATCCTACTTGGAGGGAAGGCAGCTTAGTTGTGTTTACCCATGTAGAAATGACTTCCTAACACAGTTGTACTTGAATTCTGACATCTTGTGGAGAATGATGTTCTCGTATGATAATTTTCAAGCTCGAAGTGGCCCTTCCACAGAAGTTTTTCACTTGGTTAATCTGGGATGGGGACCCCAGGATTTGCATTTTTATTAGCATATAGTAGTTATATATGATGAATATATTTGGGGCACTTTGACCCCTCCATTGCCTTCCGTTGTCATGCTCACTGATCCCCTTCCTGTTCCCAAAGTGTCCTTTTCTACTTTTGTGTCTTTTATGTGTGTGTGACCCAACGTATTTATATAGGGTTGTTTAAAGGTTCATAAGAGCAGGGGCAGTTTAACAGAGGCTAAAGACGGAAGAAACAGTTCCTATTGTGAGCTTTCAGCCTTCATTGTCTGCCACGGTCAGGGAGTCCGGTTTCATCCCATGCTTATTCAGTCCCAGTCCCCCTGGCCTTGGTAAGCTCCCAATAGATCAGTTCCACTGTCACAGCGGGTGGGTGCACCCCTCGTGGACCTGACTTCCTTGCCTGAAGATCTTCAGGGATGAATGTGGCCTCGTGAGCCCTTCCCCGGGCAAATGTTCACTACCTATAAGTAATCAGGGAGAGGTGGGCCCTCTCGACTATGACAAATGATGAACCCAGTCTTACATGGGTTTACCAAGAGTTGAAGAGTGCAGTGGTCTTGCTAAGTCCAGAAGACTCTTCAACATTGTACCTGCCCTCTGTCACCTACATTCTTTGTTCCCCTTCCTGTTTCACATGTTACTGCACCTGGAAGTAGGGGGACATAGATGTCATGTTCATGGCTTAGCAGTCAGTGGTCGTTTATTCTTAGCACCTACCAGTTCTGAATGTCTGTAGGAACTGCAAACCAGCACAAAAGGAAACTTTGCTGACCACTGCATGACTCCATGGGCATAATCTTATTCAGAAGGAGAATGACAGCTACGTGGTGATCTTTTAGCAAGAGCTTCCCCACAAAAGCCTAAGTCCTTCCCAGCCATGGCTGTTGACTAGGTTTTCAGTACCAGGCATGTGAAGTAGGCCTCAAGTCTCCTCAGTTATCCTCAACAGCCCTGGCACTATTGCACCACTGCCTATCTTGGCCGGAAGGTCAGCACTGTAGTGTCCAGGGTCCATGGATGTGCACAGGAGCATGGGCAGCTCCCTGCCACCAGCTTGCTCAGTGCCTTCCAGCATCATACAATCTTGCCTGCAGGAGAAGGCTTCTAGCTCAATTGCAATTTGACTTCTGCCTGCCTTTCAACCAAAGTATGTATTGTGTGTAGTAATGGGGTTTTTCCATCTAGCTACGATATACAGCCACCATCAGGAGGAGTTGACCTATATTGGGTACATCGGTAGTCTTCCTGGCCAACAACCTATGGGGAGGAAGCTCACCCCTGCTCAGGGATTTTCATTTATTTCTGACATTTTCACACATGTATACTATGTATTTTTTGTCATATTTACCCTGCATTTTGTCATATTTATTCTGCTCCCCCTTCTTCCTCTCCCATTCAGTTGCCCAGTTCTTTATTGATGTGGGAGTGATTTCTTTTTAATCTGTTGTTTTTATTGGTTAATTAATAAAGAAACTGTCTAGGCCCATTTGATAGGCCAACCCTTAGGTGGGTGGAGTAAACAGAACAGAATGTTGGGAGAAAGAAAGCCGAGTCAGGAGTCACCATGATTCTCCCACTCCAGACAGACACAGGTTAAGATTTTTCCTGGTAAGCCAGCTCAGGGTGCTACACAGAATATTAGAAATGGGTTAGATCAATATGTAAGAGCTAGCCAATAAGAGGCTGGAACTAATGGGCCAGGCAGTGTTTAAAAGAATACAGTTTCCATGTAATTATTTCGGGGTAAAGCTAGCTGGGTGGTGGAATGCAGCCTGCTGCTCATCACTACACTTTATCAAGTGTTTGTCTTTGGACTCAGAGTTCCATTGCGTTGCATTCAGAAGCATGTATAACTTAACCCGTGGCTAGATCACTGAAGAAAATTGTCTCCTTCCTGCCAGCAACCATTAACTATTTATAATCTCAAGGGAAGATGGCTTTGTGATTCCCTCTCCTCTTGTGGCAGTGTTGATGGGTAATATTTCTTTCACATCACTGATTAGAGTTTAGGAATGCAATGTTCCAAACACTGCATCCCTTCCTCCAGCTCTTGAATTCTTCCTGGACCCTCTGTGATGGTCTACAGCACAACTTGCGTCATTCAACACTTTGACCAGTCGTGAGTCTCCAGAGCAACCATCACCTATTACAAATCTATGCCTTCCTGACCAACATTATAAACACTGATCATTTTAGTTGCTATGATCGCAATACCTGACAAAGGCAATTTGAAGGAGAAATGTGTTCAGGTTTATAGGCCCATGTTATAGTCCATCATGGCAGGAACGTCACAACATCCTGAACTAGTTGGTCACATTGCATCCCCTGTTGAGAAGCAGAGGAACCAGTGCATGGTTAGCTTCCTGTCTCCACTTTGTATGGCCCATGATGACTCCCTGCAGAAGGAATGGTCCAGCCCACAATTCAAATGGGTTTTCTCACATCAGTTAACATAAAATCAAGCTAATCCCACAGGCACGCCCAGATGCTCATCTCCCCAGTGATTCTAGGTTGCATCAAATTAACAGTTAAGACTAACCATCACAATGGGCATAATCCAAAGTATTTAGGTGATCTAATAACCTTATGGCTGCTGGGAGCAGCTTTATTCACTTGCACAAGGTACCACCGCTCAAACATTTTTTCATTTTTTTATTAGCTTATGAAGTTGCAGGTTTCTTACGGCTTTTTATCCATAGTTTGCTTGACCTCTTATTTGCATTTCCCACCAGATAGATTGTGCTGATTTTGTCCAGGGCCCCATGCTTGAGAATGTCTTTGCTCGTGGATGGGAATAGACTAGCTGGATGGCTGACGCATAGAGGCACTCCTATCCCTGTTCGCTTACACCAGAGCTAACTTTCTTTGTCCACCTGACACTTAGGGACTTTGATTTAATTGGCGCAAATAAGATAAATTTGTAACAGCACTGATAGGACTTATGCATCATGTAAGTATTTTGAAGCTGTAAATGAGACTTTCCTTTTACTTCAGAGATGGAAAATGAATGAAAATCTCTTGAAATGGAACTGGCCTTTATAACATTCCTTTGTCTAAGAGAAAAACAAATAAAATTCAGTGATCTGTGGGGATTTGAAAGTTTTGGTTTTTTTACTTTATTACTTTTTTTTTTTTTTTTTTTTGCCTTGGAAATCTTCGATCTTCTCCCACTATTTGAAGGCCACTGTGAATCAGTACTAGGTCATCAACCACCTGCTTCTCCTACTTTCTATATTCCTGTACCCAACTAGATGTTCCTCATGTAAATCTGTAAACTAATTCTCAGTGCAAAAAGCATGGAGCTGCCTTTGAGCTTCATTGTGTTTGCAAATTAATCCACAGTGCTACCTCAGAACAAGTGTGTTTTCACCAGCCAGGGTGGAGGAGGTACTGGAAGGTCCTAGAAACTTAACTTTTATATTTCCTCCCATAAATTCCAGATAAGGCAGCTGAGAGCTCCATCCCCCTCCCTCCCTCCCTCCCTCCCTCCCTCCCTCCCTTCCTCTCTCCTTTCCTCCCTCCCTTCTTTCCTCTTTTCTTTCCTTCTTTCCCTCTGTCTATTATAAAGAACTTTAGAAAGTGATACTGACACTGGCTTGACTTTCAAACCATTTTTTTTTAATGCTCAATTATCCCTAACTACAAACTAATTACACACAATGTTGTTAAATGACTTTCAAATAAATGGCAATGGTGCCTGGTGTTCTGTTAGGGAAGGCATGCTGTTTTAAATACAATATATCAATGTTTTATCAATGTTTTAGACACCTAGGTATCTTTTTCTTTTGTGGTATGCAAATTTATTACTTGGGAGAAATATTTAATTTAACAAATTAACCACATTTAGTTGTTATGATGATTTTTCACCAACTTTAATCATTGTGAAGTTATTTTTAAGAAGAAATGAGCCTTCTGAGAAGATGACTGGGAACACCTTTTGGTAGTGCTTTACTGATGTCCTGTGTGGCCTGGCCCCTGATGGTCTCCAGCTTTCCACTCCTGGTGTCTGCTTCTTGAAAGCTTCCCTCTGGTCCAGGAAAACCATCTTTCTGGGTTCAGTTTGAATGCAGTTCACATTGCTGATGATTTGGGCTTTTCCTAGTAGATACTCCTGTAACAAATTCTCAAATTTTGAAATGCTGTAGTATCCCAGAAAGTTACAGACTGAGATTTGGAATTGTTTTAAAGCCCTCAGGAGACCTAATGTCTGTGTTAACATTTTTTTTTTTTGAGACAGCCTTATTACATAGCTCTGGCTGCCTTGGAACTTGCTATGTAAACCAAGCTGTCTGCCTCTGCCTTCTGGGTACTGAAATTAGAAGCATGGGATATGTGTTAGTCAAGATTCTCTAGAGTAACAAAAATTAAAGAATTAATCTCTATATAGAAATGGTATTTATTCAGTAGCCCTCCTTTATACAGATGAAAAAGATGGGCTGAGATAGAAATCAGAGGAACATCACCCTTCACAATAGCCACAAATAAC